ATCCACTCCCTATATATCCCTATCCAAATACACACACATATACATATATAAATGTATGTACATATATATACATAAATATAAACAAGCACACATACATACACATATACACGCTCATAATTATTTATAAAATTACATACTATCAAAATATCTGCACTACTTAACTTTGAGATTGCTGATCTAAGAGGAACAATTTAAATTTTTGACGGAAGCTATGTATCGATTGCATTTTAAGGAACGGCGGCGGCAAGTTGTTCCAACACTTGGTTGCTGCATATCGAAAACTGCCTCGAAACGCAGCGGTGCGGTGTTGAGGCAGAAGCAACCCGTACGCCGAAGCTCTTGTCACTACATTTGTTAAGACGTTCTCTCGAGCCCAGCGCAATTTTTCATAGAGATAAGACGGCGTCCTGTATTTTATACAACCAAACAACAGCGTAGCAAAATGCAACTGCCAGCGGTAATCCATTTTGAGCATTTTCGCATTATTAATGTAAGGTGTAACATGTGCACGGGGAGGTATTTTAAAACAGAAGCGGGCACAGGCATTTTGTACGCGCTGTATAAGTTTCTTTGAACGGTTGAGAAATCTAGGACCTATTACTACATCTGCATAATTGAATTTGGACAGTATCAAGGACTCACATAATCTGATACGGACTTCCGTCTTTAATACATCCCTTATCTGGTATAGTACTTTTAATCTGTATAAACAATTTTTAACGTTATTTATTATATGTTTTTCGAAGTGTAGTGCCTCAGCCATCAATATTCCTAAATTTCTAATCTCAGTAACTCGATCAATATTTACATTTTTAATTGAAATTAAAGGACGATTTGCCAAAACTTTATTTATTTGTTTTTTTGGTACCAAGTAGCATATATTTCGTTTCATTAAGATTAAGTACTAATGTGTTTGCTTCAGACCAGTCGACTATACGATTTAGGTCTTCATGTAACTTTTGTATGGCTACAGTACTCTCATTTGGCTTGAAAGAAATATACACTTGTATATCATCAGCGTATATATGATAGCTACAGTTTAATATATGTTTTACGATATCGGCACTATACAGCGAAAAAATCAAGGGACCAAGTATTGAACCCTGCGGAACACCTCTTGTAACAGCACAGAAATCAGATGCTATTTTATTGCCGTTTTCAACTACTACTTCGACAATTTGCCTACGGTCATTAAAATAGCTACGAAACCAATCTATAGTTTCCGAGCTTAATCCATAGTAGTTTAATTTAGAGAATAACAACTGCCTATTTAACGTGTCAAATGCACGGGAATAGCCTAGAAGAACTAGAATTGTAACCATACCGGAATCCCGAGCACTTAAAACATTATCCACTACATCGGCCAAAGCTGTTGTAGTGCTATGTCGTTTCCTAAAGCCAGACTGTACACTCGGTAGAATTTCATTTTGGTCTAAATAATGAGTTAACTGATCACATACAGCTTTCTCTAGGATTTTAGACAAACAGGGTAATACGCTAATAGGTCGCAGGTCTTAAAAATTCCTAATATTATCTGTCTTAGGAATCGGCGTTATTAAAGCAGTTTGCCACTGTTTGAGAAATGTCTTAGCTCTCAGAGAACTATTCATAATTACCGTAATAACATTTAAAGAGTATGGGAGAGTGGATAACAGCATTTCCAGTGAAATTTCATCCAACCCAATGGCATTCGACTTCAGATCATGTAGAATTTAAAAAAAAAATAAAATTACGTTCTTTTTATAGGATAGAGTGACAAACGAGCACACAGTCCACCTGATGGTAAGTGGTTACTGTGGCCAATAGACATCTACATTTATCTCGATTACGAAACAAAATGCAGATGCGTTGTCACCCGTGAGGACTAAGACGGAATGCCTCGTCCCCAGTAAAAAGGGTCTCCGGTTCTCTACACTCACCATACGAAACACAGCAACATTAAGCTACTATACGCTGGTATTCTGTGAGAGCGTGGTCCTTCCCCGGTCGAGCCGACACATTCGTGCTACAACTATACTATTAATATAACTGCAGCATGGCTCTACCATGTTTAATAATTAAGTTACAAACATACATACAAAATGTTCAGAACCGTGATAGATCAGGGACTAAGCGCTTGCTGTACATTTCACAGTACGCGAGCGTCAGATGAACTAAAAAAACCGTTTTTTACTTCATCTGAGACGCGAGCAACCCAAGTTCGATTACTGCTGGCACACCAATAAAATGGTTTATTGAAATTTTTTAAGTGCTGATGTATTATTACGTGGTCGGTGGTAAAGGAAAACATGGTGAGAAAACATATGTCTGAGAACCCACCAACTGAGATGTGGACGACCTTTACTCTTAACCTGAAGAGGAAGCTCAGTTGCTTGGCAAGTGATGGCAAGTATTATGCTAGGAAGTTCTCTTTTCCTAATCAAAAATCCGTAACAATGATATACGCAGTAGAACCAGAGTCGAACTGATTTGTAAGCTGAAGTGGCAATGGCCTGGTCTAGCCTGGTCATTTATAGATCGAGGAACTGACACACGATTGCATAAATGAGTCCTGGATAATTTCTAATTCGGGTTTTAACTGCAAAATCATACTTACCTACAATAATCATAATATCGGCTTATCCTACCTCTCGACTCTGACTCGAAGTGAAAAATATTTTTTCTGACCAGGTAAATTTAATTATTTTTAAACTGATTTAAAGAAAAATTTTGTTAGTTTAGTGTTAATTTGAGACGCACAATCGTGAAATGATTGTTTTTGATGGCCTAATGCCGTGTTGTGCTGAAAACTCCTTAAAAATATCTTTGGCGTTGATTTAGATGGCAGGGACGGGGTTAGAAACATTTGGTCACGGCTCAGCACTTAAGGTCGTTGACGATTATTAAAGAAATAGAAGCGTAAAGAAATTCTAAAAAAGTTACGGATCCGTGGCTCGCATAAAAAGTTTGAAAATGCCGATATAACAATGTATAAAATACTTTGTGTAAAGTTTAAGTGATCGTTTGCTTTTCCAAGGTCAATATCCATTTAAACAAAGCCCCGCGTCACTTTCTTTATGCCAGTAAAGTTGAAAAAGTCCAGCCTTCTGGTGGCAAGTGGATGTTCGGTTTGACTCCAAAAATACTACACTATAAAAAGGTAAGGCTACATAAATACCATATATACGACCCACGGCTGAGCACAGGCGCATCTCACTTATGCGACGGTTATGAAAAAATTTGATGAGGTAGTTGGAATGTCTGGAAATAAATTTCATATGAACCATTTAGAATGAATCTAAATTTGAACGATTCAATTTATGGAAAATTCTTTTAAGGAGTAGTTAGTCCGCCGCACTAGTACAATTTTATTTCTTAAACTTGCACCTTTCCTAACGATTATGGCATATTATAATACTAGTTGCCTCCATGACTCAGAAAAACGTCCTAATTGTGTTACGTTGCTTTGTATGATAAAGTTTCACGATGTCATTAACCTTATGCATCCCAGCCCCTGGATCCGTCTATTGACCTCTCAGTCAATGTTGGACTTACCTTGTCGAACAATTTATCCCGGCTAAACATACTCTTCAACAATTTCGCGCATAGTGCTTCTAACAACTATCGACGTAGGTGCGATATAGATATTATGTACGTTACACATGACCTCTGTCATGTCCATGTTTATTTAAATTTTAAACTTGTCCCTCGGGAGAACCTTTTGAGGTCATTGAGCTTAGTAATGAGGTTACCTTGACTTGACTTAAAAAAATGAATCTTATTGTTTTAATTACAAAAATGTATAATCTGTGAATGTAATTACTATTTAGTACGACGTTATACCGAATTCAAATTCAAATTGTTTATTGCATGTAACATTACAAATTAAAGATGGTATAATTTTGATAGGTATACATGTGACGCCCTACAAGGGCATAGCAACACTTGAGGGCTAACTATTTTCGTATTTTCTAATTTTTAAACATAAATTATAAAATATCATATCATCAACATTCAATATTATTTTATATAAATTAATTTAATTTGAAATAAAATGTACCCAGTCGAAGTATTCTTACTTTGTCGTTATTTATCGTCAAAAAATTCATTTAAATTATAACAACATTTATTAATAAGATTTTTTTATTGTTTATTAAATTGCACAGGATTTTCCAGGATTTTTATGGAATTCCGTAAATGGTTACAAATCTTTATTAACATAACATGAGGGCTGTTTGAAACTAATTTTAATTTGGAGAAGGGTAACTTAAGCTTATATAAATTTCTATTATTTATTTTAGTTTTTTTTAATAGGTGAGTAGAGTTTTGGGAGTTTCCTAACGAATTTACAAGATTCGAGGATGGAGATAGACGTACAATATATATACAATTATAATTTTAACAAGTGTTAAAATTTTATTTTTAATGAAGTGGGGTTTACATGATTCCATTTTGTCTAAATTTATTAATATTCGTAGACACTTCTTTTGTAATATAAAGAAACCTAAATTAAAGTCTAAGGTTTTTTACCGACTTCAAAAAGAAGGAGGTATCCAATTCGACTGTAGATATGTTTTTTTATGTGTGTTACTTCATCACTTTTCTCTGGGTGAACCGATTTTTATGATTTTTTCTTTATCTGAAAGCTGGTGCTTCTCGTGTGATCCCATATATAAATTTAATCAAGACCTGACCAATAGCTTTTGAGTTATCTTTAATAATGCATACCTATTTAATTGACTTGTAATACTTTGATAATGTTCTCATTTTAATTATATTGAAGTCGGTGGTACAATTTTTTTTAATTTTACCACTTGTTTTCTTTAAAAAAGATAAAAGTTCTAAGGTGAGAAGGTACGTAGTACTATTATTTATTCTGTGGGTGAGGCTAAATAAAACACTACTGTCTTATATTTACACACGTTTACTTACATTAAAATGTACAATTGAATATCTAGTAGTTATGCTTGTGCCATCATAAAAGAAGGAACACACTCGAAATTGGAAGATTTATAGCAAAACTAACCTAGTCTATATACCGATGTTTCGTCCGGCGATAGTGTTGGCAAGCGAGGCGGGCGACGTGGGGGGCGACGGCGTCGTCTTGGTCTACACTCACAATGCAAAGCGCAGAGGCCAAGCCCAGCACATCCCGAAAGAAACAGAGGCAACGCCAGTGTTCTTGTGACAACGGCAACTTGTTCTGCCCTGGACCAACGTGGTACTACAACAGATGTGTCCGCTCTCGACCAATAACAGGGATACCGTGCTCCAACATATCCGTGGCTAATTGTGAAATTGTCGCAGTCGACGGCGGGAGGATAACCGCATCCCTTAATGTTGACGTATAAAACAGCTGGCCGCCATTCCTCGTCGTAGGCTTTGTATTTCACGTGTAATTGCGTACATTTATAAGCATCGCTCGTGCAACCTTCTCTGCAAGACGCCCATGTGCAATTATCCAGTCCGAGTCGATCGTCGCGTCTTTCCGTCACACATTCAGCAGGAACTGGGTCAAAGTCAGCGGCTAGAGCACTCAAGGCTGGGTCAGCGTACAGTGGAACAAGGAAGAGAAGAGCTGAACCACCGCCGCTGAGTATGGCTGCTAGCATAACGGTTATGTATTTCGTTAGCTTTGCACGTGTTTCCCCTCGTCGACGAGAAGCACGCACAACCAGTCTTTCTGAGCTTCCAACTCTCATTTTTATCACTGCGTCAACCCATTGTGAATAAATATCGCGTCCCACATGCACTGTTAGTTAACATAATATTGAGCATGCGTTAATTTTGCACATGCGCATTGAAATGCTTTTAATATATAAATGGAAGTAAATGGAAATTATAAATAAAATTTAATATAAAGTATAAATTACATCAAAAATTAAATAATATTAATTCTCACACAGCTTCTGAAGTCAATAAGTTAATAGCCGCGGTGCTTAAACATAGTGTATCAAAGAATTACGAGTAAAGCCTCGGCTTCAGAAGCTATTATGTGGATTTTTTCTATTTTTGAAGTAGGCTTTACTTTTTTTTCCTTAATTCGCATTGTCACCATGTGTATTTATTCCATCTTTCATGATGTAGAGAATGTCATAGATCTTATATGGGTTACAAAGTGCAAAGTTAATGCCCTACGACATAGGGCATTAAGTTTCGCCTTTGTAATCTGCATCAAGCTGCGATAAAGGATAAATAAATAAGTATAATATTATAAATAATAAATATAATAAAGTGTTATTTGATTAAAAAACAAAAACAAGATGTGTATTGTATTGTAAGTATATTGTTTTATTGTAGGTACCTACATCATAAAACACGCAAAGTAACGGATTAGAGGAAAAAAAACTTAGAAGGTAGGTACAGAAGCTATTTATTTTATTTTATTTTATTTTATTTGGAACACCAACAGCATATAAACATTACATGAATACAAATTGGTCATTTCAACAAAGCCATTTACAGGTATTCGCATATGGTTATTTAAATGTAAAGAGGTCATGACAACAGTAACAATAAACAAGTAAATCCCCGAAGTTGAGGAGTGTTTTTAAAATTTGAGAGTATTTAAGAATTTGTTGCACCCTCGGCGCGGGGGCCAAAGAACTCCAACGCAAACAATCTACTTACATTATGAGGCTTGGTACGGAATAGTTCTAATTCGCCGTTATTTATTGACAATTTGTTAAAAAAGTAACTCGCACGAATAATAAATGAATTGCGGCGGTAGTTAGTATTGACTCTAGGAATAGCCAGTGACTGAGTACGTCTAGTTGGTAATCTACGCGGAACCCAGATGCTTACCTTTTCCAGCAAAGCAGGGCAATCAATGATGCCTCCGACAATTTTTAATAGATACGTAATATCGAAGAGTTGCCGTCTTTTTTCTAAAGGTAAGAAGTGGTATCTATTGCATCTCGTTTCATAACCATGGTCCAATTGCTTACACTTGTATTGTAGATATCTCAAGAACCTTTTTTGTATGGACTCAATACGGGAAGTATACACGTTATATTGTGGATTCCAGACCACAGAGGCATACTCAAGGATACTGCGCACATAAGCACAATAAAGTACTTTAATCGGTTTAATAGATTTAAATTCATATGTAGACCTTATAATGAAACCAAGAGACTTGGAGGCCTTTTTCACTACGTAATCAATGTGCTTATCAAATAAGAGTTTAGAATCTTGAATGAGACCCAGGTCTTTCATAGATGTAACTTTGTTAAGTGACTTATTATTGATTTTATACTGATAATTTATAGGGTTAAATTTACGAGAAAAGGTCATAGCAAAACACTTGGAAACATTCAAATCAAGCTTATTTTGAGTACAGTATTGCACAAAATTATTCAGATCGGACTGAAGGCGATCACAGTCACCAGAGCTGTTAGTGGCCATAAAGATCTTAGTGTCGTCTGCGTATAATAAGACTCTGGCATGTTTGAAACATAACGCAATGTCGTTTATGAATATAACAAAAAGCAAAGGCCCTAATAAAGAGCCTTGAGGTACGCCAGAAGGAATTGTTATCCACGCAGAAGTAAAACCATTTATTGCAACCGCTTGGGATCTATTACTGATGTAAGAAGAAAACCATCTAAATAAATTACCATGTATACCGGCTTTGTACAGTTTCTCAAGGAGCAGTAAGTGATCTATACGATCAAAAGCTTTACTAAAATCAGTAAAAATACAATCGACCTGTAGCCCTGAATCCATTTGTGAAGAGGTGTATTCATTAAAAACTAAAAGGTTTGATACAGTCGACCTCTGCCTTAAAAAGCCATGTTGTTCAGGAGTAAAAGAAGACTGCAGTGTAGCATATATCTGTCGGTAGACAACTTTCTCAAATATTTTGGCAAATATACACAACTTGGATATAGGCCTATAATTTTTTACATTAGAACGGTCACCGCTTTTATGGACGGGCGTTACAAATGCTGATTCCCAGGTCATTGGCACTATACCTTCTTTTAAAGAACGCTTGAAAATAATACATAGAGGCGTAACCAAGCTATCTACGCACTGCCTTATAAAAAAAAGGTGTTATACTATCAGGCCCAGCGCCTTTATTCATGTTAGTAGTTTTCAGCAATATTTCAACCTCCTTCGGATTTATATTTATGTCACTAATACTAAAATTATCTTGGCACTGATTATCAAGATTAGGTGTACGGCTATTAGCTTCGGGAACGAGAAAAAGTTGATTGAAAGTATTCTGAAAATAAATTACACACCGATTGTCCAGTATCACCAGACTGGTCCTCGTATGTCATAACAGATGGTAGTGCCTGGGAGGGCCCTTTCAGCGACTTTGTGTAAGACCAAAAAAGACGTGGGTTATTTACTACCGAGTTTTCTACTTTACTTATGTATGACTGATAACACTCACTTTCTAATTTTATGGCTCTTTCTCTCAGAAATGAGTATGTTTCGTAATCGTACCGGTTACCATATTTTTTATATTTTTTAAAATATTTGAATTTTTCTTTTAAAACCTTTTTTAAGGCGGCGTTGTACCAAATAGGAAATGAGCTACTACAGATAATTTTGTGAGGTATAAATTCGTCACGAAGATCGGTCAGAATACGATAAAAATTATGAACACTGTCGTCAATAGAACCGCTCGATAACAAGACATTCCAATCTGTTTTCGACAAGTTGGAATTAATTTCTACATAATTTCCTTCCTTGTAATTGAAAACGGTTCTCTTATTGACAGTCAGAAAACTAGGTATGTCTAAATTTAATTCGATGCAAATTGATCTATGGTGTGAATCCTCCGAGACAAGGGGGTGGTCACTAGGTAGTACATTTACATGGTTATTGCAAAAGACAAGATCCAGTAGCCTATCGTTGCTATTTCGTATGTTATTGTATTGGTTGAGATTACATTCATTAATTATGTCCAAAAAAATTTGCCTGACTTTCGTTTAAAACACCTATTGGCCCTAATTGACCGCTTTCCATTAAGACCCAGCTGATATTTGGCATATTAACATCTCCCAAGACCATAAACAGGTCATTGGGTGCAGAGTGAAAGTTATCCCCAAGCTTACTCGCGAAGTTATCGAGTTGTATATTCATTGAATAGCCGCCTCCCTCCTTACATAAATAAATAGTGCAAATGTGTAATGCGAGAAGGCCGGCTTTGGTGCGGAGTGTCACGGAGACCCAAATATCTTCGGCGGAGGAGTACCAAGCCGGGCGACCGGTGGCGGCGAGCTCGCGGCGCACGGCCACCAGCACGCCGCCGCCGTACCGCTGTCCGGTGAAGCGGTAGTCGCGGTCACGCCGCCACACTATATACCGTTCATCAAAAAGTTCACTATCACTAATGCCATCTAATAGCCAAGTCTCCGTTATTGATATGATATCAAAGCTGCTTAAGGCCACATTTCTCTTAAATAAGCTTGTTTTAGTGCGTAGTCCCCGAGCATTTTGATAAAAAATATTAATAGCGAATTTTAGAGTACACAATCGTTACATTATATATAAAATTGGTTCTGATTTTGGTCTGGAATTCACAACAATCACCACTGCAAAGCGACATTGTTTTGCGAAAGCGAGTTGCAAGTAGAGCAATCAACAAAACGACGGCAAAAGCAAAGTTAAATAAGCGAGAACGGTAGTATCTCTTAGATATCGACAACACGCAAACATTGAGTAACATTTTAAAAGCAAAATATGAGGTAAAAATAATATGTTCCACCAGTACATGCGAGGTGCAGAGAAATTCTACCTCTAAGTACATGCAGTTACGATAGCTATTAACAGAAGTGCCATCACTAATGACCGCCGCGTACAGGGAGTGAGTAATAGCGATAAGCAATACAAAAGAGTCAGGGCTTCCCGCGTCACGGGCGCAACAATCACAATATTTACGCGAGTTAAAATAATATAATCTTGAGCAATATGTCGTACAAGCATTTAGTAAATTGAAATATACACACTTTACGAATTTTATGAAAATTTTAGAAGATCTTTTTCTGATTTTATGCGGAACGTCGGTGATGTGTCGGATTTTCGGGCCAGAATCTTGCAATGTTTTATCCACACATATTTGAAGTTTTTTGTTTTCGCCAGATCCTTTGCCTTCTTAAGAAGAGCTTTATTAAATAGCGTGAGATGGTCGTTGACGTAAACATAGCCTTCATCGGCGTATCCTAGTTGAGAAACTTTGAGTTCCTTATGTTTACGCGCAGCTGCTACAAACTCTTCCTTGCAGTAACGATTATTGAGCGCCATGATTATGGACTTTTGAGACTCTGCTTTGAGGCTGGGGACTCGGGCAATATAATTGATGTCTTCTTTACGTATAGAACACTGGATAACTTTACTGATATTATCCACAATATCGTATAAGTTCTCGGACTTTTTCACTGGAATCCCTTTTATTTCCACATTATTGGCCCGCGCCCATTGTTCCTTATCCTGTAGATCTTCTTTGAACTTTTTAAGGTCAGCTCCCAAAATGTGGATCAAATTGGTGTGTTCCTCAACTTGCGAAATTCTGGATTCCAGGGACTTCACTGTCACCGACAACTGGCTTGCAGTTTGGTGAGCAAATTCAACCGAGCTCTTAAGATTCGATATTTCAAGCTTAATGGTCTTTACATCTTCAATAAGTGACGCCAAGGGTACAAGTTGCTGCGTTATATTCACTAGGGTAGCCTGCATTTCTTCCAATCGCACTGCTATCCCAGGATTATTATAAGATGTTGATGCAGGAGACTGGGCATTTTTGCAGTCAATACAGCGCCAGGTGGATCTTCTTTCCCCAAGTTTACGAAAATTGGTCTCTGTAATACCAGCACAGGCGAAGTCAAACTGCCGTTTACATAAATTACATAAAGGTCCATCAGACACTTTATTCCCACAACGTGTACAAGAGAACATTTCCGCTTAAGATTATTAAACTTAGTAAAGCGGCCCCAGAGTTGACTGTCACTGGCGTAGGATTTACTGGTAAACAATCGAGCGCGTACACTTTTACCGCGTTCCGACGAGCACGATACCCTTTACCGCGTTTTGACGAAGACTGACGAAGACGAAGACTATGCAATCTCTTCCAGACAACAACGTTTAAGGTTGAAGAAAAATTTAAATATTGGCGTGGATATGGATAGTGTGAGTTGGTGTATATTATTCATTTATTTATTTTTTATGGCCAGCTAAAGGTTCCTCTTAGCAATTTTTCTAGCACTTCTCGTTATAATTGCGGCAGAAGATGCACATAGAGATGCAATGTCGTTTCTTCGTGTCGTCGTTTGGTCGTCGACGATTCGAGCCGCTCTCCGTTAAATACGGTCAAAGTGAAAGGAGCTGATACTGGGGTGCCCCGGCCTGGAGATGAAAACAGTAATTTCATAACCAGTGTGGTCTGAAAAGTTTTCGGACACAACTCGTAAGTAAAAGCTAGTGAATGTAGCCACTTAGTGAAGTAATCCATTACAACCATGAAATACTTGTTACCACTTTCACTTTCCGAAAACGGCCCCGCCACGTCAATGGCTATTCCCTCCCATGGTGCACCAGCATTGTACAACTTCAATGTACCTCTACTACGAGTCTGAGGTCCCTTTACAGCCGCACAACTTGTACATTTGCGACACCAGCCCTCGACATCGTTTAGACATTGGACCGATTAAAATCGTTCTTGGATCTTCAGTAAAGTTTAACTCCCAGGTGGCCTCCTGAACAATCATTATGGTATAGCTGTAGAACATCCGGTACTTTAGCTTTAGGGACAAACATTTGCAAATGACAGCTGTCTCCCTGACCATTTTCCAATTTACGGCACAGAACTCCATCCTGAAGTAGCAAGCTGTCCCATTAGGCCCAATAGCTGTTAGTGGTCGAAGTCCTCGCTCCACTGGGGCTTGGGAGCCGTGGCCTTCATCCATTCCAGAATCGGCTTGTTGTCCGGATTTTCCTGCTGTGCACGTTGTAAGCTGTCTTTCCACTCGTTGCTGAGGTGGTCTGTCCCGAGCATCCTCACAGATACCACTTTCTTACCCTCTTGCCTAGTACAATGCTTGTAATCTTCGGGACAAGGTCTAATTGACAATGCATCTGCGTTGCCATGAGATTTCCCGCTTCGATGTTCGATTACAAAGTCGTATTCCTGCAGTAGTTCAATCCACCTCGCAACTTGTCCTTCCGGATTTTTGAACTGCAATAGCCATTTTAGTGCAGCATGGTCAGTTCGTAAGTGAAATTTCCGCCCCAGAAAATATTTGCTAAAATGCTGCAACGACTTCACCACAGCTAGCAATTCCCGTCTTGTGACACAATAGTTCCTTTCCGGTTTTGACAATGACTTGCTGAAGGACGCTATCATAACCTCTCGATCACTATTCCGTTGAGACAACACACCGCCAAGCCCTGCATCACTTGCGTCTGTGTCAACTATAAATTCCTTGCCTGCATTAGGTACCCCAAAATAGGTGTTTTGCACGGACGGTCCTTGAGCTTGGAATGGTTCGCAACTTTGACAGAGTGTTTTCCTCGGTTAGCTTGTGCAGAGGTTTGGCTATATCTACAAAGTTGACCATTTCATACGGGGAGAGAACGCTGCAACAGTCTTCTAAAAGTGTGGTCACTCTCGTTTGTGCATCCTTACTGGGGGTCCCACTCGATAGATACTGGCACCGACGTAACCAATCCACTTCCTCACAAGTACCAACCAGTGTGCCTTTTTCTATAATCTGTTCCCGGTCACAAAGGTTCAGCACACGTACTCCTGAGATGTCAGTGGTTCTGACCAAGGTTCGAGCTACTTTCCATGGAAAGTCATTGTTTACCTTTTCCACGAGTACACAACGGTGAGCTTGCCCAGGGTTTCGAGGAAAACTAACAGGCACAATCGTTTCCAATCTCGGTGGAAGAACAATCTTCTTAAAGCTGTACACGTTCCCTGGTAACGCCCGTTCCACAAAAAGTTCCTCCTGTCCACATTTCAAAACACCTTGCTTAACGTCGATCTCATAACAATTATTCCTCATAAAGTCTAGGCCCAGGATGCAGTCGTCTATTATATCTGCCACGATGACATTATGCAGGTAGATCATGTTGCCTAGCTTCAACTCCATCTCCTTCTCTCCACGGACGGGTATGCGCTGACCGATGGCTGTTACCAAATTAATGCGTTCTTAGTTGTATGCGGAGTCCCCAAGGAACTGTCCTATAAGTTGGCAACTAACAAGCGTGCGAGAGGCTCCAGTGTCTATGATCAATTTACACGGCATTTCGTTGACCTCGCCCTTGATGATTAGACTGTTCCCATCATGGGTTTGTGAGATCGAGATCCTGTCGTAAAGCGACAATTAAAAACTAAAGAACCTAACCTAACAACAACGAAACAACAAAAATAGATATTACAGTTTTATATAAAAAAATGTGAAGATGATGATGGGTGACGTGAATTACAATTATTTTTTTTTTAAAATAATAAAGATAAGTGAGTACTGAAACGGAGCCCGAAGACCAAAATGGCACACCGCGCTTGGCAGTGGTGCTCACCGCTCACGGAGTATGCACAGGCTATGCCAATGGTAGGTGCGCAGCGCCTGATCTAGGCACACGCAGCGTCTGGAGAAGGCACACGCAGCGCTTGGAGTAGGCACACGCAGCGTCCGGAGTAGGCACACGCAGCGCCTGGAGTAGGTACACGCATCGCCTGGAGTAGGCACACGCAGCGTCTGGAGTAGGCACCACAGCGCCTTGGTAGATGCTCTCAGCGCCTGAAGTAGGCGCTCGCAGCGCCTGGAGCAAGCACGCACAGCGGCTAAAGATAGCGCGGGCACTAGTAGGTGGAGGCGTAGGCGTGGCTAGGCGACGACTTCAGGTGAAGGCAAAGGCTTGCAGGATCCCGGGGCAGTGCGGCCCCGGGATAAGGCCTTTAGGAGATGCTTCTAGTTTGAAAGCTGAAGCGAGACCGACTTTATTGGCCGATTGTTAGGCTTTTATACTTTTTTTTAGAGAGCTCCACGCTCGACGACGGATCTGAGATAAGAACGGAAAATTATTTAAATTAAAAACAAATTTTTGTAAATGGCCAAGAAGAAAAGAGTATTTTTTTGTGGAAGTTTTGAAGTAAAAACATCAGACCGGTAACGAATTTGAATAAAAATTGCCATGACAACCAGATAAACAACGATGTCAAAACATGTCAAATTTTGGTTTCAGGCTCGTAATAGAGAAACGGCAAGATTTAAGTGAAAAATGAGATATTATTGATATAGAAAAAAAAGTAGCGCAACAGCGCGCACGAAGCCCGAAATTGCAGAGTTACGGAGAACTAAATAAAAGATCGAAAAAGTGCTGATAGCGTGAAAATACGAAGTGAAAATGATTTGTTATTGTGTTCTTATGGTTTAAAAACGTTACAGAATCCTATGGAAATAAAGGTGATGCAAAATATCCAGTTTTGAGGTGAATGCAGAAAATCAAAAACAGAATGGAAAAATAAATTTAAAATAGTGTAAAATGATATGTAAATAGCATAACACTACAATCCTTGGGGCTCTTTGAACATCAGCCAGTACCCGCCCCGCAGTTCTGGCTTTTACTCGTTCCCTGCTGCTGCTGGGTGGTGCTGTTGGCCGCATTACCCTCCTGAGATCGTTCACCTTCCCTTTCTAGGGTTCGCTTAGGGCAGCTGGATCGAAGATGGCCTCTTTCACCACAGCCATAGTACCTAGGGCTGTATCGTTTATTGCGGTCGCGGACTGTAGCTGCTGCAAACTCCTTGACGGATGGTAACGATGATCATTGCATGGGCCCCTTTAAAGCTTGACTTAGTTGATGAATTTGAAGGTTAGTATGTTCTAATTGAGCGTCGCCATATCTCGCCTCCAATGCCCGGAGCTGCTCATATGTTGCTTCCTCACCGAGAGCTTCCAGAACAGTTAAGGCCTGTTGTAGTGGCCAGGCCTACTGTGAGAGCAGTCGTGGCTTGACTTTTATTTCAGCCGTTCGCATTCATAACAGCTTCGAACTGGCTTTTGTAGGCCGACCACGAGGAAGTCCCGTCGAACGGTGGCACTTTGAACCCACGTAGCGAAGGTGTAGTAGCTACTACGGGAGCTGTAGTTCCATCGCCAAGTTTGAGTTCGTCCAGTGCTTTCTTCATATTGGCTGACTTGTCAATTCGATTGTTCACTTGGTCGATTCGGGTTTCAGCTTCCGACAGGCAGTTGTTATGTTAAACAACCCTATCCTTCACCTCCCTTATCTCTTTACCGAAGTTCGCGTGAATTTCCTTCAGGAGGAGCATCTGTTATTACTGTCAGCGGACCTGCTCCTCCTATCGGCGGGCCTGTTCCTCCTGTCGGTGAGCCTGTTCCTCCTGTCGGCGAGCCTGTTCCTCCTGTCGGCAAGCCTGCTCCTGCAGCATCACCATCAGAGCACCTAAGTCAGGTGCCACAGATGTAGGAGCTACTGATGGGCCGGCCTCCATGGCCGGAGGCTGGCCCTCTGACGTCTGCGGCGTTGCACCACCAAATCGTCCGTGGTCCGTCTCCTGCTCCTGCTTGACTTCGGGTACGGACACCCTCCGTTTCATCCTTAAAATCGGCATGATTTTATTCCACTTCTGACACAATAAAAACTGCCGATTGAATTACCAAAATTAACACTTTAATTACCAAACAACAATTAAAACTTAAAAGACACTAATAATTAATCACACTGATTTACTTTATTTCGCTCCGAAGCTTCGATTGTATCGCCAAATTCAATACTACCCCGATCGCGGCTTGCAAGGGCTTTTTATAGGCCTTTTCCACCAAAACATCCAGAATATTCCAGCAAATACCGGTCCCGACCGACCAGGTGGAGAAAGTTCGAGTGTGGGGCTAGACTACTGGATGGCGTTGTTGGTGCAAAGTTCAGGA